ATTATTTTCAGAAAATCTATTTTACCCAGTATTTATTTTTTAAAGGTAGAGATACTATCTCTTTTGAAGTAAATGAACCCATTTTTTTTTCATTTGAAATGTAATTTTAGGGAGTCTGTTGAAGAAAAAAATCATGAAGTTTATTGTAGACAATTGTTCTGATGATTTAATACGTCAGTTTAAACCCGCTTGGTCAGCCATATTTAAAGGAAGAACAATTAAAATCATATTTGACTCAATATGCCTTAAAAAATGACTGTCACATCTTATCTACAAAAACACCAAAATTTAGGGACCACAATTCTTTGAATTTGCTTGTTATTCCTTAAAATCAGCTTTGACGAAATCAATACAGTTATTTATTGATGATGAATCTAACAAACATACTACAAATGATTTAAATTGCTAACAGCAGACCTGTTTACTCTTACAATTTTGCAGTATTTTGTACGGAATTTTAGTCCAAAATACGTCTCACGTTTTGCTATTATGAAAATATGGAAATCAGAAATACATTTGTTAAGAATTATGTAGTTAGATATAGTTAAGATCTGTCTTAGTTTCACGTTTTTAATCGCTAGAAGAGTTTTCAGCCAAAGAGATTTGTTGGTTTGCCAAAAGCTTGTGGTATATAATGACCAAGACCCTGTTATCAAACCATGTTTTAGAAAACAATAAGCATTTTTTTAAATTAATATATGTAAAATCGATGGAAAATAAACTCTTCATGGCAAATGCTAAATCTCATGGACAGATCTAATCAAAAATACTGAGAGACAACGATTTGGGTAAACAGGTCTGTAATGGAGATCCCAGACAAACACAGTTAGACTTATTGGCAAATTATATGATACGGATAGTGGGACTGCCTTACATTTTAAGAAAAATAATTTCTATTTTTAAATAAATGAGTATTAAATCATGTATAAGTACATATCAAAAGACTGGGGATCGACAACTAACATATTTACACAGTAGTAAACAACAATGACAACGTGATCTCCCTGTCAGTGTGATGTAAAAACCATAAAATTTGTCAAAATTAAGGTGGAATATATATAAAAAATTTGCTTTCCTTTAGGTTATACATTTGAAAATAAAATTCTGTAAAATTTACGTCGGCATTATCAATTTTGGGTCAAAATGTAATGGTTGTTAAGTACAGAACATTTGAGTTGGTCAATAATTCATAAATAGCTACACGATGGACCATTTAGTTAAAAATAACCATAAAAATCAGTTCAAAAATAGAATCTATACTAATAATAGAATGTTTGATACACCGATAACTATGTAATACAATCTATGCAATTACAAAAGTACCACTTGAGTATGAAATACATAATTATGTAACTGTACTCCTTGTGACATCCTGAATCTCGTATACAATTGCTTTCGTATTACTCTGAAGTAAAGTGATTCGAACATTGCACATGTACATCAGGTGCTTTAGAACTCACTAGATTAAAGTTCACAAAAATAGAATCACAGGGTCATGACAAATCTCTTAGATAATCAGCTAGAGTTCATTTAAGGCCTATAACGCATGTCTTTATTTATAAATCTGGCCTGTAAGTTATGAAAATGCAGACCAGATTTATAAATAAAGGAATTAATGTATTGATCTGCTTCTCAATGTAAAAGTGAGTAGTTTGAGGAGAAAACACTTTGAACTCGAAGAGGAAACTTTGAACATTTTCACATTATAAGTGCAGAAACGAATTAAGAAATGAAGAAGGTAACAATACTCTGATACAAGCAGTAATAGATCTTTTTGATAAGAAATAAATAAAATGTTCAAAAAAAAAAAATAAATCTGTTGTTACATGTCAAATAGAAATGGCAGTCTACACTACGCCTTTGAAACCATTCATATTTATTTGCAAATTGTAGCACTGAAATCTACAAAAATCAGTCAGCCAAATTTAGAAAAAAATGTTGTTAATATATGTCGATAAAAGAAAGTATTGAAAGAGAGATTCTAGCAAAGCAAATGTTACTTTGAGTCACTTAATGGTTGTGTGCTTTGATTAAACTGTCAATTTCAACGAGAAAGAAGAATTTAAAGCCGTCCTACATAAAAAAAAGATAATTTACAAGTATTTGTTGACTTTATCTTCACACACACACACACACCCTCACACACACACACACACACACACCCTCCCTCACACACACACACACACACACACACACACACATATATATATATATATATATATATATATATATATATATATATATATATATATATATATATATATATATATATATATATATATATATATATATATTGTTATATATATATATATATATATATATATATATTAGGGATGTCAAATCGGTCAATTTTTAATACTCGGTTACTCGGACGTTTTTCCGATCGAGTACCCGGGTACTCGGTAAGAGTCTAAATAAATATGAACAAGTTAATTGATAACTGTAAAACAGTGTAAACTCTTGTAGAAATAAAACCACATGGTCTGATGGGAGGTTTACCCGTAAAGTGTTTCTGTTGTAACAATTATGACCACTTTGTGCCCGACGAAAGTTAAACTTATTCTTTTTAAAGCTCAATTTATTTATTAGATAAATACGAGAAATGAAATCATAAATGGTTCACGGTGTTTTTTGTTTTTTTTTTTAAATCTGTTCCGTAATTGTTATTTAACTCTTTGGTGCGTTTGACGTCAAAGTGATCAGTCGTCAGAACTACGTGTACAGTATCAACTTGATCAAGTTCTCCTAGGCCCCTAACAGAGCGGATTTACGATCTTCGTACACTTGTCAATCCTAGATTTCATAGAATTACGAGACGGTATGTTGAAGTTTGGTGCAACGATGGACATAATTTTTTTAAAGCCTTTGCTTTCAACAATTTGACGTATTAATTGGCATGTAATCAAAAGCATCCATTCAACAATCGCACGTGCAATATCGTCTGTCTCTTTCCTCGAGAATTTACGGCTTCTTATAGAATTGATAAAATTATCTAATTTATTTAAACATAAAAGACCTTAAACGATGTTCAATGAAAACAAGTAATTAAGGCAAACAAAAACATAAGGGTAGAAGACAACCGAATGTGAGAAAAGCCAGGTAGGTAGCAGGTGCTTGGTCACGGTAATTACTGTATAAACACTGCCACAGGCGAAAACGGTCATTTATTTGAGTAGGAAACCCTAATTACTGCATGTACAAGTGCAATGAACATTTTACGTTTTAAAACCGATATTTTAATGCATTAATAAATAAGCCTAGAAATATAAAAAAATATACATCCGAGTAACCGAGTACCGATTTTAGTATTCGATACTCGGACGTTCGATCGAGTACCCGGTTAACCGGGTACTCGTTGACATCCCTAATATATATATATATATATATATATATATATATATATATATATATATAAATATATATATATATATATATATAAAATGAATTTCCGGATTGCTTTTTACATGGATACAAATTGAAAATCCTTGTAATTTTTTTATATGGTATGGAGGAAATTAAATTTGAGTTAATAAAATATGACTAGATGAATTGATTGATTGTACAATGTTTAACGCCGAGACGGCAATTTTTCAACCATGTTTCGGATGACTATCAGTTTCGGTCTTTGACTCTGGGCAGTCTGGCGGCTCCCAGTGAGCCTACTATTTTTCGAATCTTTTACGTGCAAGGGGTGGTCATCCTTGACACGGGGCACCATTTATCGTCCCGTCCGACGAACTTAAAATTTTAAAAATATGTAAACTGATAAAAACATTGTATAAACTGTTAAATATGATGACTTAACACACAAGTTGACGAAAAAAAGTATTGTGTTTAAGGTTAGTAAACTGAACATTTATGCAATAATATGAATGTAACATGAGTAAAAAATAAATTATATCAATGGTGTGAAGTTTAAGCACAAAGGACATAGATGGTATTTAGATGCATAATATTAATGGTGCATAATGATCATGTTGAAATGAAATTGATAACTTCATATATAGGCATTTTCATTTTCTTTTCTATGTACACCTTTTCTAAAATTATACATATGAGTCACATAAATTCAAAATGAAACCTTTCTTTTAATGATTAAATGAAATTTTGAAAATAAATAACTGAAACATCTTATTCACAGTGTTTGATAAAATCTTAGTGAAGTTTCATTTTACTTTCCAATAGTAATTTTTGTCTTCATGGAAGCACTAAAAAATTATAAAGAAAACCAAAGGTAGAATCAGACTCCCTCGTGGGCCTGTTGAACCTAAAAAAGAGAAAAAAAAATCTTTTAATAAGCGTAAGAATTTGAAAAAAATGTATGTGCACTGTTACAACGCACTTTGAAAAATTACGTACTTTGAAAAAAAATTTCAAAGTGCGTTAAATTTGGGACCAAGCTAACGCACTTTGAAAAAATTAATTTTTTTTCGAAGTGCGTTGATATCGACCATATTAACGCACTTTGAAAAAAAATGTGAAGATTAATCAATATTCTAACAAATAATCGGTATGAAAAATAATAGATCATGGTTGGATAACTTTTTTTATGATAAAGTCACTTCAGGACCTGAGATATTGACGTTTTAAATATTTGAGGTTTTGATAAAATGAAAGGGATAACAGTCTTGAAAAAAAGAGTGACAATTGTTTAAGATCATTAATTCGCTTCTTTTTTTTAAATTCTAGGTTTTGATACATGTAAGTAGATGTAAATGTGTAAAGGGGACACTAACAGTGGACAGCTTTAAGCAACTTAGCATTTATCATAACAAAAAGGGGGCAACTTGATTGTTCAAAACTATGAAAATTCTTTCTCTCTCATACGTTTTACTGTACATGAAAATTTCTAGCTCTCATTTGTTTTAATTAATAGCTATTCTCTGTAACCACTTAAACTTCGTTGCCACGCATGGTCACCGATTTTGATGAAACTTCACCCATGCTTAGTACTTGACACCAGAAACAAATATCAAACAAAATTTAGTTGCTATGTGTCTCGGTTGCTATGGCAACAGCCGGAAAAGTTTGAAAAATTGATATTTTCAGCCACTTTGCAAAATGCAATTTTTCGAATTTAAAGACATGTTACCATGGTAACTATAAAACATAGCAACCAATTTTTGCCTGATTTCAGTTTAGGGTATCAATGACTTTTATCATAGAGAGTTTGGAGAAATTCTGAGACTATGCGTGCCACAGCTCCTATATAAAATTTCAAATCATTACAGAGAATGGCTCTTAACTCATTTAATATTGAAAGTTTTCAACGTCATACCAGTTAGGTAAATACATAATTATACATGTATAAATGTTTTGAGTATAGCATAGACATCGAGACCGGGCGAAGGGCCAGGGGAGGCGGGGGGGCTAAGCCCACCACTTATTTTGGAAAGATATATATATCGTATAAGCATTGAAAATGCAGCTTACCCTTTTTGTGTTTATTACTCCCCTCCCCCGTTTGTTACCGAAACCTATGTATTGGAAAGATAAAGATTTGGACTGAGGGATCTTATGCCCGTATTCTTCTCTTTTCGGCGGGAGTAAATCAATTCACAAGTTTTTTTAAAGATAAATAACAAATAAAATCTTTCCATTACTAAAATATGATTTTTTTTCCAAAATGCGTTAAATGTCTCCATGGTAAAATATATTGATGTAGACTCTTAACGCACTTTGAAATTTTTTTTTTCAAAGTGCGTTGAATTGGTTCCAATTAAATTTAACGCACTTTGAAAAAAATTTTCAAAGTGCGTTGATTTTGTCCCAATTTTAACGCAATTTGAAAAAAATTTTCAAAGTGCGTAATTTTTTCAAAGTGCGTTGCCACAGAGCACATATAAATTTTTTTTTTTTGTATAGATTATGATAATCATATTCAAATACATGTATCAAAAAATTATGCATGCATAAACATTACTCTTCACGGAGTAGGTGTGTAGGTAAAGAAGAAAAGGATGATATAGAAGGAAAATCTTGGAAGATCTTAAACAAAGATAAGATATACCGCTCCCAAGAATATGAAGATGAACCTGGAGGTCTATATGTTAAGGCCCTGTCACACCAAGCTGCGTTCAAACGGAATCATTACGGCGTTGATAAATTTTTAAAATCGCCGTGGATTCGCAGGAAAATCGCAAATTCCTGTAAAATTTTCACAATATGAAGATGTCACAGCGTCCCTAAGGCGACGGACGCGATTCTACGGCGATCTCACGGCGTTCTACTGCGTTCCCACGAAGAGCTCTCGACGATTGACTGCGCTTCTGCGGAGTTTTCACGGCGCGTTAGGAGTTTTCACCTCGTGTTCACGGCGTTCTCAATGCGCTGGCTGCGTTCAAAATACGTTCACAATGCATTCTATACTCATTGATATATATTCAGAAGGAACGAAAAACATTTCTATTTAAAGATTCAAGTTACACGATGAAAAGACTTCTAATCATGCCAAGAAATATTCTTAATAATTAAAAATGTCCTATTTAAATAATTTAGTACTAAATTATTAATAGTTTTATGATTAAACTCCTTTTACAATTTTATCGGTTCAGATGTGTTGTTAGATTTCTTTGATTTTATTATGAATGTAAAAAAAGAAACACACTGAAAAGTTTTCTACAAAATTTAAGTGAAACAACAGAACAAGTTCTCGTGTAGTTTTCTCTTCCTTTTTTTTCACTTACCGGTCAATGCTCCTCGTGCAACAAATACGTTGGAATTATTGATGAAATATGATCCCATTGCTCTTGTTTTGTGAGCTGGCTGACAACGCTCTAACAACGCCGTGAAAGCGCATTGTGATCGCCAACGGACGCTGTATAAAACGCCATGGGAGCGCAACGATCGCAGTGACAACTCCGTTCTGTCGCCGTGTAATCGCAGTCGAAAAAATCACAAGACGATATATTTCATTAGAAGCGCCGTGAAAACGCGATAGAAACGCAGTGACATCTCCAAGCACTCCGTGACATCTCCGTAAGTCTACTATCACTGCGTTCGTGCTGCGATCATAAGCGTTTTCATGGCGTTCGTACGGAGCTCCCAGTACGTTGTTGGAGATCTCACGGCGCTGCTACGGTGATCATCTACGTTTCTACTGCTTTCTTATCAGACCGCGATCACACGGCGCGTACTTTGTGCATGCCCAAAGTGATCGCCGTCCCCTGGCGTTCTAGGAGACCCTACGGCGCTCAGTGCGTTGTCACGGCGCTGTAGGAGACTCTACTGCGATCACCTCGGCGTTTTGCATTTTTTGAGGACGCCGTGCAGTCGCCATGAGGACGCAGCCCCGGTGTGACAGGGGTTTTAAACAACAAAGGCCAAAATCGTTAGTTTATGAAATTTTATTTTTATGATTAAATTTAAATTATGTTTTTGTTACAGTGTGATAGATGCATCCAAAGAGTCCCCTCACCACTTCCTATTTACAGTTTTGTTTCAGACAGCACTCTGTTCATATTTGTCACTAGAAGTGACGTTGCTTTGTCCACCACTTTTCCTGTTCTTTGTGATGAAGGAGGATTGTTACCAGATTTACTTTCTATGTGAACCTTTGATTTCTTCAAATCTCCCTTCCCTCTTTGAGTGCCTTGTTCTTTTATTCCCATATCTAAGCATTTGCCTACATCTTTGTCTGCCGTCTTTTTTCTGTCCTCGACAACCGCTTCATTACTCAGACAGGGTTCTTTTTGGTGTATTTTGCTGTTTTCCTCGTAAACGATGTTTTGCTTTTGCTGTCTTCCTTTGTCAGGTTCAGCATTTCCAACAAAGTCCTTTTTATCACTTTCTTGAAATTTACCCACATCGTGTGACCTTGAAATCTTTTCTTCGACTTCGAAGAATTCATCATGATTCATTGATGCTGTTGTCTTTTCACTGACCAACTCTTTCGGGTTCTCATTTTCCTCATTACATATTTCATTGAGGTCACTAGTAATGTCTTGAATAAGAGATCTCTGTTTGCTGTATACATCTTCTTCTGGTAAACATGTCATCAGGACCGCGCCAACGTTTTGTATGTGGTCGTATTCGGCGTCAGGGGAAGTAGGAGATGATAAGGCATTGGACCACGCCATGTCGTAGTCACCACTCTGTATCTGTAGTCTGAAAAACCCTGTGTCGTAGTTATTTTTGTCATCCATCCCGCTGGTAATGGCAAAATTTGATTTATTTCTTAAACTTGCTGTCAAATCGTATGTATCGTTTTGTTCCTCTTTTAATGCGTTGATACTTTTGTACATGCGTGTGATTGCTTCTGAAATGGGTTTACAAGGACTGTCATTTATTTGTTGAATGCAAAGGGATCGGAGTTTCCTTTTTACTTGAAAGTTAATACAACTACAAAAATAAAAAAAATCCATTTTTAATTGATTGTAAAGATGATGCAACATTCATGATTTATATATACAAATAAATATTGCAAACTCACCACGAAACGCATAATACGTTGATTATTATAAAGACGATAAAAAATCCAACAAGCGTGAATATGTTTCCGAGGTTTGGAAGAAAACAATAGGATTTTTCTGAAAAAAGAATTTTTTTCAGTTTGGCAAATTAAGAATTTGATGTCACTGAAAATATACTTTTTTTTTTTTTTACAAAGTAATAATTCTGGATAATACCTATACTTTTATTGCTGATAACATTTCAGTGATCAAAGTTTTTAAACAAGTTGTTTTTATTCTGTTTTACTTTTTTCCAGTTGATCTTTTATTGGTTAGCAATTTAGAGAGACAACTTCTCTAGTATCGTGGAATCTGTCCAGCAAAATTAGTATGCTATGGACCTCATCTAATGCTTGATACATACTTAATTATCCAAGACATATGAATCACGGTCTCATACGAATGACACGCAGCGCTTACAAGAATTGCTGAATTTCTGGGTGCGAAACAGTATGGAGTATCCAGAAATTGATCTTTAAGAGTATGATATACTTTATTAAGTTTATTTTAAACCATTTGACATTAACCGTAATACATTTCCATATATATGACAAACCACATTCATTAATATTTTTGTACAAATTTACACCATGGTGTGTCGTTTTGGTTCATATTTAGGGTCAGAAGCTTTGAAAATACCTTTGAACTGTTTGATGCAATCACCTTTGGCTAAAAAGAAATCATTCTAACCTTAATATTCATTAACAATGGATATCTTCCCATGGCCAGTTCAAAATATACCATTAAATTAGGGGTAAAGATTTCACATTAAAATATGTTTGCAAAATCAAAAGAGTACTTTTTCAATTAGCAAGGAATTACTAAATCCCATATTTCACAACCGTGTAATAAATTGGTTTAACAACTTTATCGAAGAGGTCAAGCTTACATTTCATAGATAAAATGTGTCTTCTACATTTACTAATTACTCCATACATTGCTCTTGTTTCTTTGTCATACAACTCCTAACATTTCAAAATACAACATGTTCACACATTCCCAATAAATTTCAATAAAATTTTGACCATAAGATTTAGTCTGATTCATTTTCAATGAAAGATACCTTAGATACATCGTTATTTTGGACATAAATGACTAATACACCCGATTTTTAAAATGTTAACAGAGATTTGTGTTTCTTAAAAGTGTATATTTTTTTAATTAATCAAATCTGCACTATCTGTTTTTTTTAAATCGAAAGACAAAAGATAATATATATTATCAACATATAATCAACTGTATCGATGAAAGACACCAATGAGTAATTATTAGTCCATTATTTACATTCTGAATTGACGACGGATTTTTCCGCTATTTCCCGATAATAACAAGAATCACAAGGCGGCCCTGTCAGGTCAGCAGGGGATGCTCACTCCTCAATGGCACCTGATCCCACCTCTGATGTTTTGGAGGTTCCTGGTTGCTCTGCTCCTATTTTGTATTGTGTTATGGATTTTTGACTTTGAATACTACTAGTATTTGTTATCTCCATATATGTCATTTATAAATAAAATTTTTAAATTCTTCTCCCTGTAATTCTGAAGTGAACCCACACTCATTTAGACTGATTATTTTCCTTTTCGAGAGAGATACCATATTCGTGCTTTCTGCATTCGTGCTTCATTGCTATTGTTCCCGGATGTATTGAAAACGTCTCTCCATAGTAATCCTGATAACAGTTTCCTTCAAAAGGCTTTCCGTTGTGTGAAGTTCAAGTGTTATGAAATTTTCTTGCCTGTTTGTGGTGGCGGTGATACAACACCAAAATTTTCTTGAGCTCTGTATCGCGGTGTTTTTCTATAGGTTGGCATACTGCTTTTTCCTTTCATTTCAAAAAATGTGCTACAGAGAAATAATGTTGTATTTAACAATGTCATCCATCATTTCTCTTCATGTGTTTTTTTTTTTCTTAAAAATCTATCATCAATATACAGAGCAGTGAACCGGACCAAACTATTGCTTTTTAGACTAGTCACACACTCCATGAGCCCAGTGTAAAGATCCGATAGACCACATCTATAGTAGTCAAAGTCAGTATAAAAAGAATCGTTTGATTTTTACGGCATCATTCCCTTTTTGCATTTTCATCTTTGTCATCTTTCTAATTTCATAGAATAAATTCTGACATTTCAAAAACCATGTATTATTTGTTCTAATATCAGACTGAATACTATTTGGAAGATATTGAAGTTGTAAATATGTTTTAAACAAGGATACTATAGTAATCTTCAGTCAGATTAAGGAACATGCATTCTTTCCCTTAACCTCTGTTTAACATTTTACATCGATGCTAAGTTTTTAAGAAAATGACGATGTGCGACGATAACGAACAGTGATAATGCTGAAACAGTACACACTGCAAGAAAATAGGATTTCAAATAAACTAATTGAGTATTTGTGTACCGTTTTCATCTCTTATGGTCTCAGAAGCGGATACAACAGATGTATATGTAGTAGTACCTTCTTTATGATTTTCCTCAAGGTAAATAATGACATTGAACTCGCCATCTGAAAACAATACGGAAAAGATAATTCAAGTTTTAACTTACAAGTGGACAATAGCAGTTTGCACATTTTGAAAGTCTGTCAAGCAAAGTAATTAAAATATATTCATACCAGATTTTTCACATCCATCATCGAATAACTTATTACAAGAAACAAATTCTGTATTTGAAGCTCCTCTAGACACTAAGCACGTAGTTGGCACAGGGATTTCTGAAAAGAATTAAGATATATATTTCGTAATTATTAAAAATATTCGTACATATATGAAAATAAAATGAATAAAATTCATGCATGATAATTATAGTTTAGTATGTACCTTCTACATCGCTTGACCAGCTTCCTTCAATGATATATTTTTGTTCTGACGTAAGTTTAGTCTTCAATTCCTCAAAAGATGAACTAACCTCATTCAGCTTTACAGAACTCTCACAAAACTGGCAATGTTTTTGATGGATACCACAGTCTTACAAAAAATGTAATTATACAATGTTCTTATTACGCCATTCATTTGGGGAAAAGGTGTTGTTTGTGTATAATTTTGTTTTACCTGTCAGTGAACATGTTTGATTTTCCTCTATTCTTAGAAGTTGCAAAGTTAGGACACCTTCAAAATATACATGAATAAAACATAAAGTTTCACACATATTCTACTCCGTTTATAATTAAAAGGACAAGTGCACTTAAGCGATACTTAATGGGCCCTTTTTATGTGCCATTTTACTTCAGAATATACAGACAATAGATATTTAAATCGATACTTGAACAATCTGATGGTGGATCATAGGCGGGCGCGTTTGCGGAATGATATTTCTTGCTCCAAACCTGTTTTTAGAAATATGGAATGAAGTTGTGTAGTTGCCTGTATCTAAAATAATTGGCACTCTTGCATTTGAAAAATTACAATATTAGTTTCATTGAATTTGAAATTAAAAAGGAGTGTTATTGGTGGCTTTCAATACCTGTTTCATTGTCTTGCATGAAGGTTAAAAATGTTTGACACTTTATGAACGACACTTAGGTCTCATTACCCTCCCATGTTCTTAAAAACAAATACATACAAACATCTCTAAGCGGCACGACTTTGACTTACTGAAAAAAACCTGCCTATGTTTTACAGTGAGCACTTTTGAGGAATGTTTACCTGGGTAGAACTCACGTGACTATCAGTATTTTAAATAATTTATTCCACACGTGGGTTCACCATGGGTCATACAGGTAAATAGCTCTCACTTGCTATAGGAAAAACAGTGTACATGTACTTTTCATACATTTTTAATATTTTAAGTACGAGCCTAATCCGCGTCGTGTGCAAATTTCATACTTTCACATAAGTTTTATAAATGTAATATGCGTCTTTTGTCATTCGCACAAGTTTGCACAACGTTAGGCTCATAGTTAACAAAGGCTTTGAAATGAATGACCGTTCTCGATTTACTATAGAAAATCGCAAATGTCGGCTGACCCCTACCACACAACACATTGTATAGTTTTGTTCTTTGTATATTCGTGGATTTCAGCGGTAAAATTTGTTGAATCGTATGGTTTAGATATCAATTAATGATTTGAGATGAAAATCTTTGCTTAATTTGATTGTTTATTTTTTCACATTTTACCGGGGCCCATAAGTGCACTCGTTCTTTGACAATAGAACAAAGATTTGAAAGTTTACTTATTTTTCATTATCATACTAATGCATGCCTTGTTTGCAATTTTTTTATTTGTAAAAGAGGTTATCAATAAGAAACATTTTCTCTATATTCTTTATATAAAAAAATAAAAGCAATAAACGTTAAATTCAAAACCAAATAGGCAAATGGATAAAATCAAATCGTAACTAGAGATATCATTTCTATTTTACTTTTTAAATTATTACCCCATGTCAGGTCAAATTTGGCTTTTCCCAGCCATGTATTATTCTCTACAACGTCATCCTCAGTCGACATTCGCTGATCGTTGTTTGCACAGATTTTGAAGGACTTAATCCATGTCGTATCTATTGAGAGTGCGAACCCTAATAAATAGCTAAGAAAACCAACAAATAAGATTTTAGTTGTAGGAATTAGGTTTTTTTTAATGCTCAACTGTTTACAGTAAACATGGGAAATGATGCTTAAAAGTTCTAGGGACAGGTGATTTTTCTTTGTTAAAACATTATTCGTAAACTATGCTAAGTAAACAATTTTCATTTAAAGTCGAGGGGAATAAAAATTACTTCGCTGTATCCATTTAATTAAGCGTGTTCACTTTAAAAAATGTTTTAACTATGTAGAAAAAATACCACGTTATATTTACCTGCCGGTGAATATAAGGATTTATTTACTCTAAATTGATTTAAAAATAGATCAGGAAATTCCATATTGATACAAAAGGTTTAGAAAGCTATTTAACCTGCTATCTACTTTTACTCATGTAAACAAAACATTAGGCGAATATATAATTTGGGGTGGGGTTGTAAGTGGGGGAGCCGGGACCCCCCTCCCTCTGTCCGATACTTTTGTCTAAACAAACATTCTTTACTTTTTTTAACTGTCAGTTCTCACTGAAAATCCTACTTCCTTTCAAATTCCATCATATGAAAGAACCTAAAATTATTTTTTCTTTCATGGCAACTAAAATAATTTATAAACATTTCACATTAATTCCATAGGTGAGGTTGATTTACATTGTAACTCTGCTTCTCCTTTTGTAATTGGTTAAGATTTCAACAAATGCCACTATGTAATGAGTTGTATCATTTTAATCATTGAATCAATTACATTTTAGCCACCTTCTAGGTACAATATTCACTTCGACCTCCGAGCTCGGTGAATATT